ACAAGAGGAAGAAGTACACAGGGGTCAAAGGACAAAGCATGTGGATTGTGCCACCTGGCCCAAAGGCATGTGTAATAATTTAACTGCACAGTACAAATGGCATTCGAAATCTGTGTTCTCGCTAGTTGCCAAGTCTAAGCTTGCTTCACAAAACTAGAGTTACTGGAGTGATTCTGAATTATAAAATGGTAGTCTGCAAAGAACATCTGTGGTCTAAACTCTAGTTTAATAAATGTGAAACGTGTCTATACAGGGTAATCTAGAAGAAAATGTACTTGCTTGAGTTAGTGAATTGGTGACCTTGCTAAGTGGATAGACATTTACCTCATTTTAGTCAGCTGAATATTTACTATGTCATATTTTGCACTATAGAGGCAATAGATCAAAGACTCTGGTGGGACTCAAGTGTCACGTGTAAAACACTTAGTAGCAGTAACCTACAACTTCACTCCTTTCCTAAACTTAACGTTAGTGTCTGTATTCAACAACACTTATAACCACGTGGGTGAATGCCAGGGTATACATATAGTAAGAGAAAATGAATGTATAGGTTGACATTTCTAATAGCACATGCTCGTGTGTGCTAAGTCACTTCAGTCATATCTGACTGTTTGCGACCTTTTGGACCATAGACCACTGTACTCCTCTGTCCATAGGATTTCCAGGCAAGAATACTGGAGTGGGTTGCCATGCCCTCTTCCAGGGGATTTTCCTGGCCCAGGGATCGAACCTGCATCTCTTTCTTAAATCTCCTGCTTTGGTAGGCAGCCTCTTTACCACTAACACCTCCTGGGAAGCTCCATAGTGCACATGCTATATCTTTATGGGCTTCCCAGGTGCACTTGTGGTAAAGAATCCACCGCCAATTCAGGAGACACAAGAGATGTGGATTTGATCCCTGGGTTGGAAGGATCCTCTGGAGTAGGAAATGGCACCCCACTCCAGTATTCTTGACTGAAAAATCTCATGGACAGACGAGCCTGCCAGGCTACAGTCCATGGGGCCACAGAGAGTCTGAGCACACATATATCTTCTTTATAAGAAATATTTTAATAAAGATATGCACAAGTGTATTTGTGATAAAGTATGATTATTAATGTATATGGTTCTCCTGCATTTATTTATATACATATATTAAACATGATCTATTTCCCAAAGTATGCTTTCAAAGATAGATGTGATGTCAACATTTATGCAAAGAATGTCATTTATGTTTCAGCTTGAAACAGAGGAAATTTTAAAAAGGTATGATCTGAATTATAGTGTGTGTTTCCTCTCTACAATGTGTAAAACTCCTAACTAATAAAGCACTTTCTCTCCATCAACAAGGTTTAATGTTATAAAATAATATTTCCAGTACTGAATTACCTATAACAAAAAGCTCAGTATATCTCACTAAACAGAATTTTACATCACTAAATTCAGCCATTAGCAGTGTTTTATGTGTCAGTAAACTATTTAAAATGGACTCCAATAGGCAAATGCCATCCATAGGGACATTCTCTTTTTACCTAAATTTTAGCACTTCTACGTTGGAACAAAATCATAGATTACATAATCATTTTCAGTAACACACCATTATGTGACACAACCACTTCAGATATGTTGTAATATATACTTCTCACAACTTTGAGGATACTATATTTATTTAAAGTAATTTAGTGACTAGATTTGACAGTATAAATTTGTTTGACTAGATCAAGGTTTAATTTAACTTGCTATATAAATATGAATTGCAATTTGATTGAAAATACTTGTGCATTTATTGCCACCTATCAAAAAAGTTAAGTAGCAATGAGAATGACCAATTATTAAAACAGATTTAAAAGGAGCAATAATAAATAAGAAGCTTCACAAAAATTCTGACTTTTGAAAAGGTCAAAAAAGTCAAAATTGAAAAGGTAAGATTAAGATGGTGTTTGGACAGGGGATATAGAAATACCCAACTCCATTTTTTCTGTTACTCAATGCCATTTTTTTAAAGTGAATTTGTTTACATTAAGTTTACCTCACAAGTGATCTCTCCCACCCTCACCTAACATGGAGCCACTGGTTTTTATGTTCTTCATGCCTTGAGCATAAAATCTTTCCACTAGATGTTTACTGCCCCATATTTGCCCGTCTCAAGCCGCAGAAAGAAAATGACCATCCCTCACAACACAGAAGCTCTGTACCAAGTAGTGGTGGCCAGCTCAGCAGCTGCACCCACCCAGTCGGCCAGCTGCCCACATTCTCCTGTGTCCTGTGTGTGCGTCGGCGCTCAGGTACGTCTGACTCTGGGCCCCCACAGATTGCAGCCCACCAGGCTCCTCTGTCCATGGGATTTTTCAGGCAAGAATGCTGGAGTGGGTTGCCATACCTTCCTCCAGGGGATCTTCCTGACCCAGGGATTGAACCAAGTCTCCTGCATTGCTGTGAACCCAACTCTTCTCAAAAAATTACATTTTTTATTAAAAATGATCTGATCCCATCTGTGTAGATAGAACTTTAATTACAAGTGATACCTAAAGTTTTGCATTGCTTGTTTTGTTTACTAATATTCATTAAAAAGTATATGGGATTTCTCTGGTGGTTCAGTGGCTAAAAACTCTGAGCTCCCAATGCAGGGGACCTGAATTTGATCCTTGGTCAGAGACCTAGATCCTGTATGCCACAATTAAGACTCAGGACATTATAGAAGAAGGTCTATAAGGTTTAAATTGTCAATAAAATTCTATTAATTAAAAAAAAACTCAGTATAGCCTAAATAAATATTCAAATATATATGTATAAAGTCTGCATGGGTTTACAATTAAAATATAAATTTAAGTTTCATTTAAAAAGTTGTAATGTAAAAACAAAATGGCATAAAAAGAAAAAAGTCTTGACCAAGGTATCAGAATATATTAAAAACAAACCAAAAAAAAAAAAAAAAAACCAAACCAAAACAAAACCCAAACTCTCTCTTAAGAGATAAAGACTTTAGCTAAGGATAGCCATGAATATCTAGCAAGTCTCTTGCTCATTTATCTTCAAAGTCCTGGGCGGATGGGACAAATAATTTTCCTAGCTGGAAACAGCAGCATGTCAGAGGATTTAAAATTGCCTGCATATTGTACACAATCCTCCCTCCTCAAGTTGCATATGTTTTACTTAATAAAGAGGAATAAAAACCTGAACATCTTTCACCAATATAAAATACAGAAATAGTGACATATATATACGAAACTTTTCATTCACTTCCATCATAACCCTCCTTTTGTAGAACGTTTGAGGAATGAGCATGTGTTTCAGAATTCTCACTTTAGGACTGTTCACTCACAGGGTTTTACTTAAAATTAGATCTGGATCCATATGGTATCACAGAAGTAAAAGATCCTGCCTTCAGTTGCAAGGGAAAACACATTGATCATATGCTTCTTCCCTGCTGGAAAGTGGAATGTTTTTCCCTTTTATTAAGTAGGAACACAATGAGCTCCACGATCAGAGCACAGCTTATGGTCCTGAACCACAGGACTTGGCAACTGTAGCCCCTCGTGGATTTTGAAGCACTCATGCTCCCGTTATAAATGTAAACGGAAAGCTATCTAACTTGCCAGTTGGTACACCAAATACCCATGAAATGCTACCCCAAGGGTGGTCATGCCTTGAGGCCCATATGTTCCGGCATCTGTCTTAACTCCTATTCCAACCTCCAGGGTAAACATAGCAACTTGTTACTTGGGTCACATGAGTGAGTTGTCAAACTTTTCCTATGCCTTAGTATTTCACAAAACTAGAGAGACAAAACAGGCAACACAGAGAATAGAAAGGCCTAAAGGGAACATTATTATCCTTACCTTGGTATCACTAAATGGGAGGAGGAAATTATCCTGCTTTGGAAAATAGCGGTCTACTTTGCAAGTAGAATTTTTGCTTGGTTGATGGTAATCTGCCTGCAATATAGGAGACCTCAGTTTGATCCCTGAAAAGGGATGATTCCCTGGAGAAGGGAATGGCAACCCACTCTAGTATTCTTGCCCGGAGAATTCCAAGGCTAGAGCAGCCTGCCGGGCTACAGTTCACAGGGTCGCAGAGTCGAGCGTGGCAGAGTGACTAGCACTTTCAATGTTTTTCACTTTTCACTAATAGGCACCAGCATGCCTTTCATTGAATTTTTCTAATTAACAAGTGGGAAGATATTTTATTTTATTAATAAATTAGAAGAATGGTACAGGGAAAATGTCTGAGAGAGGCACTAATAAGATACACATTGGTGTGTTCTGCTATTTCTTCTGAGTATTTTCATCACTGAGTAGGTCATAGCAATGTTAGTCCCTAGTTTTCCCAGAGTGAAGTTTCTGTCCCTCCTCTCAACCGTACAACCCAGCACTAATATCAGATTTCATTGACAACCTGCTTGGGAAAGCCTTGGTGACAGGGCTGTGTTTCTTCTCACTGATATAAAGAGAAGAATATTTCGAATACAGTCCTTGTACTAATGGCACACAGCCTTCTGGTAGCATACATCTTAGTACACAGAGGGGCACATGTGTTAATGAGCTCTCAAAGCACTGGGTCTGGACCAGGAAGACAGAACAGCAGTGGGAAGCATAGCTGTCGCAGTTGTGAAAACGTGCCCACCAGATGCTCTGGCTTTGGTGGCCAGACGCTCCTGGTGTTCTGCATCCGTTTGCCAGGCATCGTGCGGCTATTCTCACGGCTGCGTTTGGCACTTTCTTCCTTTCTTCTCCAGCTTTCTTTCCTTCCTGATCTCTAGGACACTGGGCTCTCTGAGCCCTTTTGCTCCTTTCGCACACGCCCTCCGTCCTTTTGCTTCGCCCTTGTCTTCTTCCCATCCTGTAGACACTAGTGTTCTCTGTGATGCTCACCTCTCTTTGGTCGCTCAGATTCTTTCATTTACTCATGATTCAACTCCAGGGTGCCTTCAGCACCCTGGGCTGACTGGTCTACAGTGGAACTCACTCTTTGCCTCTGTCCTTCCCCACCCAACCCAAGTGTACTCCTCTTGGTGGTCTTTCTCAGGACTGATCGGTGGCCCCGACCTCACACTGATCATTTCCACTGGAAACCTTGACATCATCGTAGACTCTTCGTCCTTGCTTTTCTCCCCTCAACTGATGATTACGAAGTTGTGCTGCGTCTTCATCCTGCATACGGCTGAGCGCCGTGCCCTCCTCTTCAACTTCTTTGCTCTTGGCTGAGACCAGTTCTTCTCTCATTAGGCTCTTCCATCTGACACCCCTGCGCAAATAGCCTCTTTCATACTCATTAACACTTAAGTAATGTTTGTTCAATACAAATTGACTCGTCCAGCCACTCTTTCTGAAATCTTTATTGTATCCTGCTGCTTTTGAGTTTAATTTCAGTGTCCTCAGTACGACCTCTGTGGGGTCATTATCATCTGCCCCTATCTAAATTGCAATATTTACCTATTACTGCATGGCATATTACACCAACATGTAGTGGATTAAAGCCGCAGACCTGCTCCCAGCTTCTGTGTCAAGAACGCAGTCACGGTTCAGCTGGTGCCTCTGGCAGACAAAATTGCATTCCGGTTTCCTTGGCCTGGTATCATCTTAAAGTCTGACTGGTTTGGGGGTTTCGGCAGAGCTCAGACCCTCGGCAGCTCTTGAGTAGATTGCCTTAGTTGCTTGCCGTTTTGGCCTTGTTAAGGTTACTCACAAAATGGCAGCTTTCCCCCTGAAAATTAAGGCTCTGAGAAAGAATGAGACAGGAGAAGCAAGGTGGAAGTTAGGGAATGTTTGAAGCCCAGTCTCAGGAATGATGTGCTATCACTGCCATTCTACTTGTTAGAAAACAGTCACTAGGTCTGAGCATAATAAGGATGTGTGTGGTGTGTGTGTGTGTGAGTATGCTCAGTCATGTTCGGCTCTGTGACACCATGGACTGTAGCCTGCCAGCCTCCTCTGTCCGTGGAACCTCCCAGGCAAGAATAATGGAATAGGTTGCCCTTTCCTCCTCCAGAGATCTTCCTGACCCAGGGATCAAACCAATGTCTCCTGCATTGGCAGGCAGTTCTTTACCATTAGCGCCCCCTGGGAAGCTCCAACCACGGTAAAGAGTGGGGAGTCGAAAAGGCATTAACACCGGCAGGGTTATCTTAGAGGCGGCCCACCACATTCACAGTGTGGCATAATCTCTTAAGCTCCCTCTGGTCCCTGGTTTTTGTGAGAAGATATTTAAACATACTCCATTGTTCTCGAATCTGCTTTTGTACACACTGCTGCTTTTTTCTGAAACACATTGCTTTCCCTAGACAGATTGAACCACTTTCATTTACACTTCACTTTCAGGACAACCTCCTCTATGAGGTCTTCCCTGGACTCTTGTTGTATGTCTTCTGTTCCTCTGTGGTCCTCTATTATTGTATGTGCCATGTGATACTGCATTTATTATCAATTCTCCATTAGACTGTGAGGTCCTTGAAAATATGAGCTCTGTTACATTCACTGCTCCTTGAATAAATATCAGTAAACTATAAAATAAACTGAATAGTCTAATGGATAGCTACACTATCATTTTTATGATTTTTTGCATCTAGTTTTATGTTGTATCATTGTAATACCATCAATTCTATGAAAATAATGCTACTAGTGAAAAGATAAATTCAGCAAATTATCATTACTTTTATGAATTGTGTTGATTATTGGGTAAAAAATACTGTGTAAATTATGGTCTCTTCAGGGAGCTCATAATTTAAAGGTGGAAGGGTATATTAAAGATAAACCTGCAAATCTCAGCTTTATCATCTTTAATTATGCTTCTTTGATGAGTCTACAAGTTTTTCAGCCCTTATAACAGCATTATTGATATCTACTTCAGGGAGTTGCTGCAAGCATTAATTTTCATCATCTTCTTAATATAATATTTTCGGTGTTATCTTTGATATGTCATTGTACTATGAGGTAGCCTATAAATCTTTTTCTACCAGTCTTATTCTCTTATACTGAATGCAAAATTAAATGTGGTATGACTTTCAGCAATTAGGAAATGTTAAATGACAATATTATTTTCCCTGATCTGACTCTTCATGACCCTGTGGACCATAGCCCGCCAGGTTCCTCTATCTATGGGATTCTCTAGGCAAGAACACTATAGTGGGTTTCCATGCCCTCCTGCAGGGGATCTTCTTGACCCAGGAATCAAACCTGTGCCTCTTATGTCTCCTGTATTGGCGGGAGTGACCTCTAGTGACACCTGGGAAGCCCCTTCTTGATTCAATAAACACATTTACTTGTATGGTACAGTGGTGGTAAAAAATGTGATTAAAGATAACATGACAATATACTAAAATACTTAAAATGTGATAAAATATATTTTAACCTACTGCTTGGCTCAAAAAATGACAAATATTTCCTTAGCAATTGTTTATAATAATGATTTAAATATTAAAACTTTAGACATCTCAGAGACAAATAATTGAGTGGAAAGTCATTATTTAGTGGTTTATTTATGGAATAGCATATAAATGATACCAGTGACCTTGATATTGAAAAAGTGAAGTCATAAAAAGGAAGATGTTGGGATGAGCAGTGTTAGACACATACAGTAAGCCATAATGTCTTTATTTGAAACTGATAAGTCACTGAACTTTTTTGAGCTTGTTTGCATATAAAGATTGGAGCTCACACCAATCTCACAGGGTACTGTAAAGATTGTGATAATTTAAATAAACTGCCTTTACATAATAAACATTCACAAGGCATTAGTTTTCTAATATTCTTGCTTCACTGATAGATTTTGAGAAGAAAAATTGGATCAACTATAATATGAGCATGGTAAGGTTCATGCTTATGAACCTTAGAGTCATCAGCTGTTTTATGACTAGGGCAATACACACTTCTAATTCTTATTTAATATAAAATTCCTTCAAAATTTTACTAATGTTAGCTATGTTACCCTTACAGATATGATGTTCCCCTTTTTATTGCATATATTTTTATGTATACATAAACGCATTTATACATATATACATACATCTGGAGGAGGGCATGGCAACCCACTCCAGTATTCATGCCTGAGCAATCCCCATGGACAGAGGAGCCTGGCAGGTTACAGTTCATGTAGCCACACAGAGTTGAACACTACTGAAGCGACTTAACGCAGCCTGATACACACACACACACACACACACACACACACACACACTTATACACACACACATATATATACACACACATACACACACGCACACACATGCACACATATATGCACACATACACGCATATTTACACACACACACACACACACGAAAAGTGAACGTGCTAGTTGCTCAGCTGTGTCCGACTCTTTGAGACCTCATGGACTGTAGCCCACCAGGTTCCTCTATCTGCAATTCTCCAGGCAAGAAGGAGTGGGTTACCATTCCCTTCCCTAGGGAATCTTCCCAACCGAGGGATTGAACAAAGGTCTCCTGTATTAGCAGGCAGGCTCTTTGCTGCCTGAGCCACCAGAGAAGCCCCATGTATGTATATGTGTGTGTGTGTGTGTGTGTATGTGTATTTCCACTGACTAGCTTGAATTTTTTACAGTAGCTGATGTGGATTAGAATTTATTGAATTCTTCTCACCACAAATCAAATTGCATCTTTATCACTTTTACTGATTTGACCCTCCTTAAGGGTATTCACACTTCAGTTAGGTGAATGAACAAATGGTTTCCTGAATTAAATAGGAAAAGTTTACTCTGAAAAAGTGGAATCCTGAATCCCAGCATACTCAACATGTCTACGAGTCCTTGCACTGCTTTATTCATGATTATCCCATCTCCAGAATGTTCATTTTTTGAAGCTTCTGGGTTTTCAGAAAAATAAAGGATGGAGGGGAATTTACATGGAAATTAGGATTTAATGTTATCTGGAGTACTTTTGCATTTTTCTACAGTCTATGATGTTCTCACAGCCAGAATACTGGAGTGGTTTGCCATTCCCTCCTCCACTGTACTTTTTCTTAATTGTGAAAGTGATCCTGAATACAATATTGGGTTGACTAAAATGTTTGTTCAGGCTTTTCCATATGCTGTTATGGAATATTTTAACATTTTAGGAAAAATTGAGGCTGTTGGGGGGAAGAAAATAGAGAGATATTGCAGATGTCTAACCATATGAAAGATTAAGATGGAAGGGTGCCATGTTTTTCCTTCAGATTTGTCATCAAGTGGCTTCCCTCATAGCTCAGTTGGTAAAGAACCCGCCTGCAATGCAGGAGACCCTGGTTCAATTCCTGGGTCCGGAAGATCTGCTGGAGAAGGGATAGGCTACCCACTCCAGTATTCTGGCCTAGAGAATTCCATGGACTATGTAGTCCATGGCGTCCCAAAGAGTTGGACATGACTGAGCGACTTTCACTTTGTCATTAAGTCCTGGAAAAGGAAATGTCCAAAAACTTAAATTCTTACAGGAAGCTTTCTTTCCATGACAATTCTGAAGGCGTTTGGAAAGCCAAAATGGCTGAGAATTTAGCAGAGTTGCTGTGACTAGCAGATAGTCACCTAGAATCTTTGGTTGAATGCATCAAATGGCACCACTTGCATACTGGCCGAACAGTTAATTATATGAAAACAACTTTGAGAAAGCGCTTGGAAATTCTGTTTCTTCATACTTTGAAGGTGTTAGTTGCTCAGTCATGTCTGACTCTTTGTGACCTCGTGGACTGTAGCCCACCAGGCTCCTCTGCTGGTGGGATTCTTCAGGCAAGGACACTGAAAGAAGTGGGTATCCATTCCCTTCTTCAGGAGATCTTCTCAGCCCAGGGATTGAACCTGGGTCTCCTGCATTGCAGGCGGGTTCTTGACTGCCCGAGTCATCAGGGAAACTGTCATAATAAAAATCTGTCCCATATCATAGCTTTATAATTTTCTAAAAAGATGCTTTCTCATAGTTTCCAGTGGGATATTATGAGATACATTAAATGCAAAATTTATTATTTTCATAGGATTTGGTAGAAATTCCAAGATATTATTGCTGTTCTAAAAAATGACTTTTACTAAATTTGTTTTTGCTACATTCATAACCTGTAGTAATCAGGTTTCTTTGTGCTGGCAACTTTAATTAATGCAATTGTTTAATTATCTGCTCCGCTGAAGTGACAAAGTCTCAGTATTGTATATTCACCTTTGGAAACTATATCTAATTTTCAGCATATTTTGCTTTGTGAAAATTTAACCAAAACCCGCTGAAATGCAAAACTTCTCCACTCTTATCCTTTTAATAGTCCTTCGGA